AGTTTCTACCACCAACAAATTAAGAGTTATCAGAAGTGTGAGTAAGGCTAGCTGGTCAAGACCTAACTAAAGCATATCCAATTTTATCTCAGTTCATTTTCAATGCTTTTCATTTACAATGTAAAGCTAAGGAAGAGATATTACCTGGGGAATACGAAGGATGGGTAAGAAGAGCATACCTATCTCGGATAAGTGTTGAGATAAGAGGTCGTCTGTTATTTGGTTAAGACTAGATTCGATTCAGCCAGATTCACTAAATTTATTTTGCCAAGCTGCCTTTAAGCAAATCTTCCTGCACACTAATTATGTTGAGAGGAAATCGCAACTTCAATTAGTTCAAGTATGTCAAGCAAACGATTTCACATAAAACAACTTCCAGCAATCAAGTAGCGACGTAGAAAAGTGGAGTGTTTAGTAATGCCAGACGAAATATTCTTGCCCCACTAGAAGTAAGTTATCAGAGGAAGGAGTCAAACTGACGACTCTCGAAGTGAATTTCTACTTGTTGGTAATAAATTTGGATTAAATGCATTTTTATGAAAAGTGACCACACATATTGCTTTAAGCGCAGTCATCCAATGAGTCTTTTGTTGCCAGGACATTCTTCCCCAAATCTGGCGATGAGTTCCGCCACCCCTCCTTTCCCAAAAATTGCATAAGAAAATTAGTGAAAATATTCTGCTATGTGAGACTGAGCTAACCTCGGACTCCTAAAACAGACAAGCTCAAATCCGACCGACAATTTACAGGGTTTGAGAGCAATACAAAAGGGAGTTGGATCATGAGTGCTTTGAAATCCATCGGATAAATCGCAAGTCATTCAAATAAGTCATACCGAAAAGTACACAAACCTTTTCGGCCACCTGATACCATCTACAATAATGTGCGGTACATCCAGAAACATGACTAGTGAACTTCATGCAATGTGAAATTGCACAGCCCTCTGAATTTGATCGAAATTAGCCAGAGTTGTACAAAAACGTGTTGTTCACAAAAAAGCATTGAAGACATCAAGTTAAATGAAGCCCAAAAATAATGCCAAAAACATTAATGAACCAATAGTATAGGTAAGTGTATATGAAGCTAAGAGTTTTGGCGATTGGTTACTTACCAGAGACGTGGTTAGCATTGACCAATCGAACATAATCAGCTGGAAACCATCCTATTTGCCGATCCTGACCTCTTTGCTGAAAAAAGTTGAGGGGGAAAATGAGAACATTAATTTTTCTGGCAATCCATCACCTCCAACTTGCTAGCAATGCCACAAGTGCTACTTTAGGGAAACGACAATTGGCAAAACATGCAAAATCGAGTTTTCTATTGTTTCTGCTAAATTAATGAAATAATCAAAGCAAAAGAGCCGCTGCAAATTCGCCAAACATATGTAGGCATTCTTAGTGGCGATTATAGAATTCAAACCTTCCAACCACAACTTAGGTTTTCGACGAGTCAGCGTCACAACACTGGGATTTACTCAAATAAAATCACTTCCAGAAGTGGGGAGGAATTGATTAAATATAAAGCAGTACAGACAAAAAAAACACGATTAAATACAACTAAAGCTATGAGAAGACGTCGAAAAGGGGAATTTTGTCACTGGTAGAAGTGCGGGTTCTACTACACCGGACAGGAGTGACAACGCTGAAATGAGATAACAAAGAAAATTGTGATGATAGATAATAGACAGCCATGTGGATAGGCTTGAACATGTTTCGGATCCGCAATAACATCGCATCAGTCTATTAAAGACTTAATTTATAAATGAGTGATTTTGCAGCAAAATGGTCACATTAAAGATAATTACTTGCATATAAGATAAAGTGAGAAGCACACCTGAGTTTCGCCCTCCCACCAGCCTTTGGAGGATCGCTTTCGGATCTTTACGTACTGACCCGCATTAAGAGAAAGCTGTTCACTACTTTGCGCCGTGAAGGGTGTTACCACGACGGCCAGCTCCGACGTCTTAGACATTGTGATCACCGCCGAATCGACTTCGATTTTTCCATTTTCCTGTTTTTCGTGGTCGATAGAAGCAGAGGGGAGGGGTGGTGATGGTGAGATCTTAGGAGCATTATTGTCTCCAGTTGAAATACCCGTTGCAGAGTTTTGAGCAGCTGGACCGATTGTGGTTGATGGTTCCGTCTGAAACGGGGAACGATGCCATCAACACAGAAGATACATACACTATGCAAAGACTGAATGTTTACATCAGACTGCAACTTCTGTACGTGATTGGCGGGGAAAAGACCACGCTGACCTGTGCGCTGGGAAATACCCTCATACCACCCGTTGTTGTCAGCAAAAACGTCAACCTTATCGTCGATTTCGAGATTCAAATCCCCTGGCAGCTTCGCCTCGAAATTATACAAAGCCAGGCAGGTAAAAAGTGGCTTTTCTCCAACAAAAGCCGTCGGTGTGTCATCCGTGAGGGGACTACAAAAAAATGAACAAATTGAAAGATGCTAAAAACTGCATAACCCTCATAGAGGGAGGGAGATTGACGCACAGAGAGTTGGTTTGATGCACGGGACCTGCAAAAGCAGGAAAAGGATTAATTGAGGTGGCAGAGCTAGTGGTGTTAGGTAAAGCAAAGGGATCGGCGGTGGCGACGGGTGAAACCTCTCCAGTCGATGCCTTCTTGACGTAACATGCAGGCACGAGGCCCCGCCGCCCGCTCATCTCACCGTACAGCCAGCCTTCGCATACCTCAAACGGCGGGCTGGTGAAAATCTACAAAACGAGAATAGTGCAAGAAACAACCAACACAGCTTGAGAATCCGAGATTCCTGAACCTACCTGAAGTTTATCGCGTTCTACAAATGTGAGTTCATCAGGCCGTGTCGCGGTGTAAGCATAAAGCGCTGTGTAAGCCTCCGAAGGTCCTGCATCAAGCGCCGTGCTATAGGAAGCAGAAAAGACCTCAAAGAACTGGGCAAAAGGTTTGGTGTGGTACTAGTAGAAAGATTGCATGATCCGATGAAAGTGACTTGTTGTCACCAGTTTAAACGCACGATGAGAGCAAAATACGGGTACGGTCAGTAAAACTACTAAAGTGAAGTAGTGAGTTCATCCGAATGGGTGGTTATGATGTTGCGAAGCACACGGAAAGTTCAAAGGAGAAATTATAACTAGGTAAACAAATATGTTTACAGGGAATCAATGGAAGTGGTAGTAATCCTTAAGCAACCTCCTTTTGGGGAACAAAAACGAAACAGATGCCAACCCTATAAGGATAGCCAGCTATATTTTAACAGGAGCAAAATGTCTCGCCTCAACCAATAAAAACCTACCCCGTAATGCTACTGGCAACATCTACATCATTTTGTTTCGCAGCCGTCGTTGCCGCACTCTCCGCTTCCTGTTCCTTGTGAGATTGGTGTTTGTATTGCTGCTGACGATAGGTGCGACGTCGCTCCAAGAGGGTTGCCAATAAAGCGTTCACTTCAGTGGCAAGAAGAGTGCGCTTCTTAGCCAACTCATCAGCTGAATGTCGGTGGCTTGCCAGCGTCTGTCCACCTCGCAACACTTCCGTCTCTAGCTGTGCCAGTTGCTGCTCCAATTGACGCTTACTGTCTTGAACTTGCTGGGTTTGAAGAGAGAAGAGATAGCGAAGTGATCACTCCTCAACTATCCTTGCCTTCTCACTCAGTGCTAAGAACTGGTCCCTAATGAGAATTGTAATGCGATGACTACATAAAATTGTTTTGAAGATCAGATCAAGTAAACTGTGGAGCCATGGTATTATCCATTTTCGGTTTCAGTAGCTGTGGATATACAAATCCCCACGCTCCCAACCGAACTCTAGAAGCATTGGCACTAAGCCAACAGAACCAAATCGATGATGCGGCAGCTCATAAACAAAACCTCACAAATGAAAGGCGAAAAATGCAAGAGAAACACCTCACCTTTAGACTAGCCCGAAGGGTCTTCTGCTGCTCTGTCGTATTACTAATATCAACAGCAACAGAGGGCGGTGGAACAAGCTGTAGCTGCAACTGCTCATCCTCCCTTTGCCACCGATGCAGCTCTGCACGTGCTGCTTCTACATGTTCCGTAAGATCGCGGCAATCACGTTCCACTGTATCACGTTGCTTTGCCAACTCAAGGATGGCTGCCTTCTGTGCCTCTACCTCTGCCTGTGATGAGGTAATTAGTGTTTGCACTCCCTCGCGCCGTGTCGATTGCGAGGCTGCGGACTGCTCTAGGCTCGCAAGGTGCGCCTTGGCTTGCTCCAGAGCATGGATCTGGTGAGTACGCTCCCTAACAAGAACCTCAACTCGCGACTTCTCCGTCTCTAGAGCCCGTCGACGCAACTCCTCCCGCACTGCCTGAAGACGTGCAGTCGCCGCCTCCTGCCGTCGGACCTCCAGGACACGTGTTCGCTCCGCCTCAGCCTCGACCTGACGCTGGCGCTCCCGTTCACGTTCCTGTCTATGCGATTAGAAGAACAGGAAACCTTGTTTGAGTGTAATGGGCCTGTTTACCTGAGAAACACACCATTACCAGTTCCTCCTTGTCTGGCCTATGGGAGGAAAATGTGGGGAGCGGCACGTCTGCTAGGGTCAATTTCAGCAAATAGCACAAAATAATATTGTCAGAGAGAAGTGCATATTGGACCATTTTTAAAGTTAAATACTACTTGACACAAAAAGTGCACACCTCCCGCAAGTTTACACCATTGAACTGGCATACATTTCACAGAAGAAGATAGTAGAAATATGAGTCATAGTGTGGAACTTGCACGATTGAGACATTTTGTAACAGCAAAATCAGTACAGTCTACTCCAACATTATCAAGACGTTATCTCCAGAACGCCTTAAACGTCAATACCTCACTGCACGTCTTAAGAAAATCTAGCTAGTTGTTCAAGTTGACCGGATAAAAACGAGTAGCCCCACCGCAAGCCTTTTGCAACGCTAGTAATCTTTAAAACTCTGTTTCCGGTGTGCCAATTGATCGTCCAAAGCAGTGTCATTGTCATCGTAAAGTATGTAACCACAAGCTAACGATACTTGCCGCTATTGGCTAAGGCAAGATGGAAGCATAGCTGTCGTCTATTAGAAGAATTCCTCTACTATTAAGAAAAACCAGATTTACCGCACCAGTAACCAGCCTGCATGCAGGCGTGCGTGCGTGCGTACCCGCGTACGAACAAGCGTGGGCGTTGATGCAAATTCGTGTGAAATTCTTGTTGAGCTCTCATTGATTTAACCCGGAATGATGGGCTTCCCAAGTGACATTGGCAATTAAATTTCTTCAGGTAATGCAAGCCCTCCCAGGTGGTTTTATAAAACCAAACTAGGAATATTTATCACCTTTCTGCCCTAGTTATTAAAACAACCGATTGAAAACCACAGCACCGCGTGCAACGCCTAGCTTAATGAAATCTTTTCTCATTTCCAAAATCAACTACGGAGCATCACTTCAAAAATGTGAGAATATTTCTCCACCAAATCTAAACAAGAACCCATTCGTGGGACATGTAAACTCATTGCTTTTAACTGGGCTAAAGTCAAGTTATTGAACTGATTTCTTTTCGAAAGGGTGGAAGGATTTCGGGAATTGTATGCGGCGTTGAATGAACTGCAGTCGCAATACGTTTGTGACGCAGAAATGCTATGGCACCATATTGAAATAAATCACTTGCGCTCATAAAAGCTATATAAAAATGAAGTACCACTGGGAATGTTAAGCTTGCATGGATATGTTAAGTGGGTAGTCAAAAGGATGCAACACCATGCACGGAACCGCCGCAAAGGATTGAAATCAATGAGAATAGCTGCATCTTGGAGACGCATATTTCCAACAAGTTTTTTAGCACAAGTGTATTTTTTGATACAACTCTCGCTTTCTGCTGTTCGGCGTGCCGATCGGCTGTTTATAAAGATAAGGTCTTCGTGTAACCAAGGCCGGACGTAAGTCAAGACTTACGACCTTGTGATAGGAAAAAAAGTTAGGTGGCTGCATTTGCGCAGACTAATGTGCTTGTTTGACTTTTCATCAAAAAGCACATTATGATAAAATGGTCTATTAGCAAGCTTATGGGGTTAACAAGGATGGAGGAAAAGCAGTTAGTGAGGACCCACCGAATCTTCTCCTGCTTTTCTGATTCAAAGCGCGCCTGTTCACGCCTCTGCTCCTCTTCTTGCCTCAACTGCTCGGCCAAATCCTGCTTGCGTTTGTCCAGTTCCGCTTGACCCAGCAGGAAATTCTGCATCCTCTTGTCCTCAAACGTCATTCGACCTAAACACGAATTAGCGGTTATACAACCTTAAGTTGAACAGAATCTCTACCTTCCAGCTCTTCCTTTTGTTCGCTGTCAACCGGAGTCGACTTAGGACGGTCGCCTTGCTGAGCCTATAGTAAGAAGTAGAATATAGTAAAGAAGAAATTAGTGCAAACTTACAAGAGAAGGCATGAGTGTGAGCGGTAGAGTGAGAGGTAGTTTCCTACCCGCCAAGACTTGATCAATGAGATAAGCAGCGATGCAAAACTCTTCACATGTAAGGTTACCATCCCTGTCCACGTCAGCAAGATTCCAAATCGCCGCTAACTGAGACTGAGACAGATTGGATTTGAGAAAAATACCTCGCGCCTCAACACCGGTTAGGTAACCTCGCTTGTTGCGGTCATTTTGATTAAACTGGAGCTTATACTTGGGCCGCAGGGCAGCTGAAATACTCCAATCTGAATCAATCGTGCTGCTGCCAATGGACTTCAAGGTGGTAGATGAATTGACATGATCAGGGAAGATGGGTTGACTGAAACGTTGTGGTTCCTGTAGCAAAGAAGGTGGAAGTTGAGGAGGAAGGGTGTTCCCTTCGAGACATTTCTTGATGAGGAACATGGCGATAGAGAACTCCCTGCGATCCAACTGACCATCAGCAGTGAGATCAGCTAACTCCCATATTTCGGCCAAAAGGAGAGTGGGCAGCTTGGAGTGTGTAAAGAAGTTACGTGCTTGCTCGCCGGTTATGTACCCGTTTATGGGACGCAGGAACTCGAAACGATCGTCATGCTTGCAGCGATCCTCATATGTGATACGCCATTTATTCCAGTCATCTAACCACATAGACGAAAAAATTCCGATAAATTTGTTAAAGTTATGAGTAGAAAGGATGAAGGTGTTCAAAGTAACCTCAAGACAATGGTGGTTCCAGAAGGTCCACATCTCAATATTAGGCGTCCATTACAAATGAAGTGTGACTCATGAGCTAAAAGTATATTGCATGTTAAAGAATAGGAGGGAAGAGACTCGCTTTGGGTAAATGTGTCAGATAGATGAATAGCAAATTTATGCATAAAAATGACAAATGTCGTTAGGAGCATCAAACCGCTAGAAATTGCAAAGTCATGTTACCTAGCTAAGCGTGTTGGATTCGTCAATTAAAAACCGAAATCAGAAGACACGGTAGGATTTTTTTGAGCACCACTAAAGATATCTCAACTTAATAGGTTGATACAAATGCGCAGTAAAAAGAATGAGTTAGGTGCAAATAAAACCGTCTTACTCATTGTTGCCGGTACAAGAGAAGACCAAAATCAAGGACTCAGCAGACCGAAATACGCGCTGATAGAGAAGATCAGCTTTAACGATTTAGGTCCACCTATTCGTTTGCACGGATACGAACACAGCAATTAATCAAAGGGCAACATTGTTACAAAATGATTTCAGAGATAAAAAATGCGTAACCTATCAAATATATTTGCTCAAAATAATCAACGATACCTGTTAAAATGTCGCATATTAAAGCCTTAAATTTTGAATGTACGAAAAAATCCAGGTGAAGTGCTGTGCTATGGCGTAAAAGCACAAAAATGGAGGAAAACCATGCTCATGTTGTGGCGTTCTTTAGCTCGTGTCTATGCATGGCCTTCAAAGTAAAGCTCGTTGTCCTCGTTTTAAGACTGTGGATCACAAAGCTATCGTAAAACTTCGTTTATGTAACCTCCTGTTGTCTGGCGATTACTTTAAGGTTCCTCTGG